TCAACGTGTTTTTAGTATATGTGGTAAACCAGAAGAAAAATTGATTTGCCATTTCAGTTTTAAATGTTAAAATGGTGCTACCTTGTGTGTAAGTGATTGCTCCAGTAGAATATTATTGAAAGCGAAATAAAATCTATTTGTGCCTATACGGCCTGGTGTATATCGCTGTGGTGCAATGATTTACTGATGTTGTGCAAACACCAGATGTGCTGACCGATGCATTTTAGTGCACCAGTGAGACTACCTGACTTCTGGCTTAGTCTTTAGTTACGCATGTCGCAAATGGTTGGCTTGGTGTGTTAATATCTGCATATGCCTGTGGTGTTGGCCCACTCCGTACATTCACCTCTTCCACCCTAAACTACAAAACCTGGGGAAAATAAATAAAACAAAGAATCAATCTTATTGACTTGTACAAAATGTATTTATCACAGAAACAGACATTCGTTGTCGTCCATGTCAATGTTTTATATTTTTACCTTGCCCGTACCATCAAAGATGGAAGGGAAAGGTATATTAAGGGAAACATTTTGCCTGGGTTGTCGTTGTCGTCGTTAATAATTGTTATTGTGTGCATAATAACTTTACTAATTCTATTCCAAACTTCATCAAACTTGGTCACCTTATTCATCAGTATAATGTCTTCCCTGAGTTTGAACAACAGATGTCCTGTATGAAAATATCATGCAAAAATTGAGAAAATCTGATAAAATATTTTGACTGTTTCTACTTGACTGATCACTGGTGATACACATCAAAGGTCACTGATCTCAGTGGAAATATGCATTGTTGTATGTGTTCAATGAAGCAAATGATTTATCTTGTAATAATATCCTTGGTAATGTATCTCCCAAATTTCAAAACCAACTCATGGAGAGATTTTTTGCACAGTCTGATACACATTTGCAAACCTACCAATAAAATCTTTACAGAAAACAAGATGTCAGAAAATCAATATAAGCACTCCTATGAACTGGGTGCCTAACTTTGATCAAGATCTGAAGCTAATAGAAAATCTGTTTAGTTCAAAGTTATCAAATCAAAAACAATACATAAAAAATACATTAAAAGCAAAACATTTCATCCACATTTTAAAAAGAAAATTATTCTAAAATATATGTATTCTGTATTTGACAAACAGTTCATTCGACACAGGAATATGTTTCAGCTATTAGAACAGAATGATAGACTTTTTATAATACTAGTTTAAAAACACACTTCAAAGATTTCAGTGTTTAAAGGTGTAGATTCTCAGGAGGCAACAGTACTGTTGACTTCTCCCTCCACTGGACACCAACTAACTATTTAAGTTGATTTGCATACAAAGCAGAGCTT